GCGACTGCTTTTATAAACTTTAAACAAAAGAATTATTTTTTTAGCAACAAAACAGTGACAGGTTTAGTCGGGTCCCAGCAATCAAAAATTAAGCACGTATACATTTTGTTATACAATATATGTAGAGCTTTTACTCTTTTAATATAGATAGTATTGTAAATAAAGTGTTAATTTCTTAACATTTGTCATTTTATTGTCACCAGGTCGCAACGCTTTGCGACACGGCCAGTCCTCATTACGACTACATTGGTCACCCTGCGAAACAGCGCAGCTCTGCTCCACGGCACTAAGCATGTAAACTAAAAACATCGCCCAGTCCAGCCGCAAATTGACGCCCAACCTTGTCGGCTCTTCAGCCAGGAGATTTGGGGGATAGGAAACCCACGCATTTCTGCGCCATCTACGCGGTCTGGCCGGAATCACAATGTCAGACAATTTACTACGAACCATTTGATCAAGTCGTCTCCCGCTTAATGTTCAAGCCATCATCGCAACAATGCGGAACAAAGGTCTGGATGAAGCTGCAGAGGCAGCTGATTGCATCTTGGAAGCAATTCAAGAGCAAACCATAGCCGCAGCTAATCCCGCGACCAGTTCCATTACGGCGACCATTCAAACTTTAGCAACATGGTACATGTCCTCCAGATGGATCTGAATAACATGAGACAACACATGACGGAAAAACGGAAGAACCAACCTCGTTCAATTTCACGCAGTTTTCTACTCCGACGATGTTTCAACCACAATATTAGGGCAAATAGTAAGGGGCAAGGCACACTAACACATCCCCATAAATTGGCAACATAGGGTATAGTGTGATAGAAACTCTGCAGCTACATAGATGGAGAATTGCCGCTTATCGAACGTTTATTCCTAAGTTAAAACTAAACAATTTAGTACTACACATGATGTTTAGACTAAATAAATTAAATAACTACACTAGGCAGCATTCTATGTAAATGTACGAACACAAACGAAAACAAAATTAAGTTAAGTACGTAAACATTGGTGGGTAATGAGCATCATCTGGATAATTGTAACTTTATTAAGACAAATTTCAGCACCATCATTGAGGTATTGCCAAGGTGTGTCACTTTTTTGCGGGTGGTTCTAAGTAAACTTATCAAAAAAATCAATTAAGTCTCCAAAAATTTCGAACCATTTACCGAAAACATTTCTTGCAATCACAATGGTGATTTTTGTACACATTCAAAATTCTTTCCCACACGTGAAGCAAATTAGTCTGTAAGCACCAACCTATGAAAGAAATTACGCACTTTCCTTTCGAAACCACCAACACAAAACCACTCGCGGCTGAAAATAAGTTTGAAGCAAGGTTTGCACTCGCTGCAAATTAAAAGAGTGCAGCAATTGGTCCCTTTAAGTTTTGCCACACTGTCACATGAGAGGAGTCTACTATTGTGGGGATTATCTTCTTATTTGAAATTGAGGATTTTGTCCCTACAGCGTCGATACGGTTCAAGCCCGGAAATACGTATCACGTCACATTATTGTAACAAGAACTGTTCTACAGTGACTATCTTACACTAATAATTGATGTAATGCTGAATTAGTATTTACTGAACTGCACGTCGATTGCCTCATACAAGATTAGCATAAACATAAAAACATTTACTTAATTTTCATTTTTTATAATGCTCTATCACCTCCTGCAAGCTAGGCATTTATTTTTATTACACCCTGTAGAGCCGAGACATATCTATGGCTATAGATTATATATTTCTTAAATCTACAGACCTCACTTATATTTACCCCTATGGTTTACCCGAGGAACATGTGGCTGCTCGAAACTCGATTTCCGAGCACTAATGGGACCATGAATGGAGACACCCTGTAAATTAACAAAAAGACAAGGAATATGATAAGGTTATAATCACAGACATATATTAATGGACGTGCCTTAGCCTTATGTCGTTGTAATAATTTCTTGGCTCGAAAAGTGAGGAAAATGGCGTATTGTTTCGGACTAATGCTATCTCTTTCATGACACGCTTACGCACTATCGTGAGAGAGATGGATATTGTCCGAAACTTCATTCCATCTCTTTCTTTTATTGTACCACAATTCTGACCGCTAAGGCATGTCCACTAGTAAACGTCGATGGTTATAATGGTTATAATCATCGTTTTATAATGGATGTTATGTTATTGAAGACAAGAAATCAAAGATGATTGGAGGCAAGAAATGAAAAGATAACCACACATCTGATGTAATTATTGCTTGCCAAAGATCTGAAAGGATGAAATATGCCAACGCTATGTTTGTCGCAGTGAATTGGACCAACCGAAAATATTTAATATGTAAAAATAAAAAGATCAGTTACAATAAGCGGACGACTATTATTAGTAAAGTATTAAATGATGGAAAAATAAAGGAATGGTATTAATTTTAAAAATGGAAAATCAACAACTTCAAAAAATAATGAATATTTTAACATTCAAATATTGGAAGTAACTCGCTGCTAATGCATTGTGACTATTAAGTGTTAAAATGGATGAACAGTTTTTAAAAACAAGTAAGGGTGGTTGGGACCAAAGCGAAATAAGATTTGGTTTACCCGAGATGTGTCTTCTTCAGTGCCTTCAGTATCAAAATTATAATAGTAACACAAGTGAAAATGCTAACACATTACAGTTGTTGAAAAGTAAGGAATCAGTAGAATTTTATAATCAAATTACAACAAAATTAAAGTCAGAATCTGATTTTCAATGTATCAGTGGGAAGAGATCCTACAACTGTACAGTCTGTGAAAAAACTTTTAAAAGCAAAAGTTGCCTAGATGAGCATGGTAGAACTCATACAGGGGAAAAGCCATTTGATTGTAAATACTGTAAAAAGCGTTTTACCAGATCATACCATGTTAAAGTACATATTCGAACTCATACTGGAGAAAGACCAAATGAATGTAATTATTGTCAAAAACGTTTTACACGAACATCAACCCTAAAGCAACATGTAAGAATACATACTGGTGAAAAACCTTATGAATGTAAGTACTGTAAAAGTAGATTTACAAGAACATCAAGTTTAAAACAACATCTTAGAATTCACACAGGTGAAAAACCATACATTTGTAAATTATGTAATGAGTGTTTTGCACGTAAAGATATGTTAAAAGCCCATAATGCAAGAATTCACACTGCAAAAGCATCAATAGAATGTGAACTATGTACTAAGTGGTTGCATCAAGAAAGTGTTGACACTACCACATTACTGACTGATAAAAGTCCAACAAAGGACTAATTAAATAAAACAAAATTTTAGATGTATAGAGGTGCTTTGTTGTTGTATTCGTTTTAATGTACTTGTCAATTTTTAAATTAAGTACCTAAATTATCTTTTTAATGAAAAAATATAACATTAAAGACAGTTTTATTTTATTATTAATATAACTTCTTCAAAAGCATATAGTTTCATAATCGATCTTTCAAATCCTGAGAAATTGTTAAAATTTGTTTCGAAGAAATGGATGATCTAAAGGGTTTATTGGTACATGACATTTTTCGTAACGTTTGTTGTTACTTAATTCAAGCAATCATAATACATATAGTAACTTCATCAATTTTCATCAGTTTTATTATTAAGTTCAATCATATTTATTACTTTACAATGTTCAGTTAATCAAATTTAAAATTTTCTTAATTACTGTTCTTGCGTATTGTATTATTTAGGTAATATTGGATAATACATATACATATGTAAAAATAAATAATTTGGCCGGAAAAAAGCATGTTATGAATATCACGTTTAAAATTGAACCATTCTCATAAAAACAATTGATAAGATGTTATCAGTATAATATTGTAAATAACATGAATGAAAATGGCATTATGATCGTTTGAAGAACAAAGGCTGCAAAAGTAGCGAAAAATAATGGATTATTAACAAATCTTTTCTTCAGTCGACTAGCTAGATACACTCAAATAAAGTTGTCTCTTTTTGGAACGAAGCGAGCCAGGTTCTCATAACGTGATGCCTGAACTTTATCGTTTCTTGACCGATTTCTGATTTTTTTTTCTAATAAAAATATCTACGCGATAAAAATGTCGTGGCGAAGCCGGAATTCAGATTTTTGAATCATTGGTGATTAAAGTTTGTGCGTTTAAGCGTGCGCTTTTTAATAATTTACTGAATATTCTGTTCCAATTAGTTAAGTCTAATTAAATTGACTTTACAATTGTATTTTGTAATTTAAAATAGAATAACTTTTTTAACTAAATATAAAAAATATTTATCTTAATAAAAAAAATAATGTTAAAGCGAAATCTTTAAATGAAAAACAAATTTAGGCACAGCTCAGGATTAAAAAAGCTTCGTTTCAACATATGCTGCAGCGAAGCAATATGCTTAGCGACTGCAGCGGCCCTACTAAAATTTTCAGCTGTTATGGATATATAGGCTAGTCTACCTACGTTTTTCGGCCCCTACTCGATCGAGTTCTGGTATTTCTTTGTGTAAACTGTAAGTATTTAACTATAACATGCAAATTTCTCCTCTCAATATTAAAAAATGTCGCCACGGGAAGTTTTTCAAAATAAAAATTATTTCAGCTTTAAAAGGTCGTACATCATTTTTTTCTTGTAAATTTGCAGAAAACATCAGCTATCGAATGGTGAACTGGGCTAGATTGATCCGTACTCAATACTTATACAACTTTTGTACAAAACTTTGATCATTTTTTTTACTGTTTTTCACCAAGTTTGTATAAGATCCCATAGTGTCAATTATTTTAAAAATAGTGCATTCGATTCTAAGGAAAATATTTGATTTGTTACATATTTTTGTTTACTGTATCGCGGTAGTGTAACCAAATAATTAGCATTCGTAGTCAATAATAATAATTTGTGACTAGACATCAAAATTTCACCATAAATGTGTCCTTTCCTTTTTTATGTAATAAGGTATTTTTTTTTAATTATTTCTGTAGTTCCACTAATTTTACTCATGTTAGGCATTTAATACATTAAAAATATAAAACATACAAAAATGAACATATATTTACAAAGTAATTTTAATGTACAAAATATATTTAATGAATAATCCAGGACAATGCATCTGAACCTAATTTAAACAGAATAATTTGTGTGATTTAAGAAAAATAATAATTCAATCACAAATTCACAATTTTTCAACATTGTTCAAGTCTGTGATACACTTGCAACAATATACATACGCAACAACTAAACGAATTTGACAATTATCCTAAAATATCAATATAAAATGTAATATGTACGTTATTAGTGACATAAACAACATTTTACCTCACAGTTTTAACAGAAAATTTGATAAACTAAAAAAAAAAATATGAACAAATGAACTAAATGAATTTAATAAAGCTTTTAAAACCACTTTATTGATATAAATAGTTGGACTGAACACAACAATTAACTTCACACTTAAATTTTAGTACAAAATTATACAATTCTATCCCATTAATTTAATACTTTATTTCTTAAGGAATTCTATTTATAGCCATAAAAATCCTTTTACGTTTTTTTGCAAAATTATTATCACAGAAACAGACAAAATCTTAGTCATCCTTTTCTATGTAGCATATAGGAAGTTATTCTTTTATTTTTTTTAGTTTCATGGTAAGTTTATTTCTGATGTTTCCATGATTGTTTTAAATTAGCATTATTTTTTTTTGTTATTATTATTTCTAGTGTTAAAAATAAAAAGGCAAAATATTTTTTAGCTAACCTCTAATTTAGTTAAATAAAAATTTCTTAAAATTTCCAAAAGAAATAGATATTACAATGAAACTAAACAAACAAAAAATTTATAATTGCCATTACAAAATATATCTACCCATAAAATTCGAAAACAATTTTCTTATGCTGTTATAGAGAACGAAAATAAAAATAATTTATTGTTCTTTGAAATGAACGATTTATGTACAGATTAAATTTATTTTCATAATATAATTATATGCCATAAAATCAGCAATTTCATTTCTAACGACACCTTAAAACAGGTGGTTGTCTGAGAAAGATCATTTTTTAGAAAACAAGGACGACTTTATAAAAGAAAGTAATTAAATTCCACCGAATATCAATGATACTTACATTTAGGACAAATTGCAAATAAATACAACAGCGCAATTTTTAACTTGTTCTTAAATTGACAAGGGTATCGTTTAATTTTATTGTAGTACGGGATGAACTGAAGAAAAACAGAGACACTTGTTGTCTTGTAAGGATACTTCTTTCAAATTGTCATTAATGCCTTATTATTATTAACTAAATTTCTCGATATATCACACTTCTAAATGTTTCGATGCCGTCAAAGCCTTAAATGGTTCTGACCACATTCTTCTCAAATCACCCTAGACATAAAAAGAAATTAATAATTCATTTCTACATACGATAAAAATATAAAATATTTACAAACATTATAATAAGTGTTAATAGAATACGAGAGTTACAAATACTTAACAATATATTTATAATGTTACAATGAAATTGTCTGAGGCTTCGTCCCTAGTCGTACGAGACATCTTCAAGGCTCTGCCCATGTCAACTAAAGGTCTTTTAAGAAAGAACTGGCGACTTTCTTTTGTATCGTTCTTGTGATTGGCAGAGTGTTAAATTTAATGGTGAGCGAACAGGAAGTAACTATCTTCGAGGGGTTTTTGGATTACTCAGGCGTGTAAACTGGCATTGCGGAAAAGAAACTTTATTCCTGAGAAAGATTTGTAAATAATCCGGATTCGATCAGTGATATTTTGAATGTTTCGCATGTGGATTAAATATGCTAATAGTTAGTAGAAGCTTGTAAAACATGATACGCTCTTATAATTAAGAAGTGAACAGCGGAACTATTTTATAAAGGACGACAGTGTGATAGGGTTTTAATGTAAAAACATCTGAGAAGCCTTTAAAATTCCAAATAATCTAATGGACATTAAAGGTAAGGAAAACGAACGTTATTTGTAATACACTTTAGTTCACCTGTAACGTTAATTTGTAGATGTTAATTAGCGTCAGTCTCCAAGCAGTGATATTGAGACAATAAAAAATCACTTTTATTTTCTCTAAATTTCTGTAATACTTTGTTACACCGATCGTTCTCTTTACCCTAACTTCCATGGTCAGCACAACTTATGAAAAGTTCTACTGGTCCACCATTAAATTTCACGCTATATTTACTATAAGAAGTATATAAAAACCCATTATATCTTTCAAACCACTGGCTGAAGACCAAATAAACAGTCCTAAAAAAGCCTGAGGGAACGGTTTTAGTTAATAGGCACTCCCTCAGAATGAATCCAACACTACCTAGGCGTATAAACGGTTAGGTGTCTTCTGAAAATCTGCCATTTTTTACGAAAACACAAAAAGTCACTAGTTTTTTTTGTAACAGATCATCAGTCATGATCGAAAGAGCCCTGAAGATCAGAAATATTCATTTCATTCCAAACGTTTACGATAGTCTACGAAATTGCATAATATATACAGTGATTTATACAAAAATGAATACAGAAATACTATAAATTCTAGACATAAATAACTTGATTCAGTAAACAGTCTTAAAAATTAACAACTTTGTTGTTTAATTCAAAAAGTATTACGAATTTAAAATTCCGAATTTAGTGTTGCATTTTATTATGGGTGATAATCAAGAACATTCAGTTATATTTAAATAGTTTTTGTATACTATTATTAACGCCTTGTGCACCGACTAAACTGAGTTAATATTTATGCGTTTATTTCTTTTTTCGGTAAAATAGTCAGGCAACAAATCACCTTTTAGACTACGGCCAACAAACCCGGAAGAAAATTAGATTATGGAACTATAAAAAATGAGAGAAGTTCGTTATATACATCATTTAGTGTTGCTGGTACTCCGCGTGCGGTTCTTTATTCTTAGTGCATAAATATCTGGAGACAATATCCTAATCTACAGAAGAGGTCACAACATAAGAAATGTACGGTGACATTTCTTCTTTTGTAATGCATCTGATTGAAACTCCCTTCTTTATTACAATAGTTGTATTGTCTGTTACGTTAGCCCAGTTTTTTTGTTGTTGATTACATTTTTTTGTACGTCATCATTTAGCTTTATTCTGATAAGGTTAGGTTTCTATTATTTTATGATTGTATTTTTTACCAATACATGTTTATTATTTTATGTAATCAATACAGTAGAGCCTCAATAACCCGAACCCCCGCTTATTCGAACGACCCCTCCCTCCTGGTCACACGGTCTTTTAAGGCGTTATCGCTAAGTGATTAAATAAATCCGCAGTGCTGTGTCATTCACTTTAAGTCCTACACGTCGATGTTTCGTTCGTCGCGTGAAAACGAAGAAGTATTGGAAGAATCGAAATCAATGGCAAGGATTCCACATACTCGAGTTGTGTTTGTATTAATTGAGTGGTTGGGATGGGCGGATGAACTATCTAAATATTTAATTCCCGAAAAACTACTATTGCGTAAAATGAGGAATAAAGCATTTTCTGTCACTTAGACCATATTAGATTTTTTAAAATAATATAATTTTAAAATAGTGTAATAATATACAGAGTAGTCTGTCAAGCGCGCCTTTTTCTCTGGCAGTTTTGCCGGTGAAATTGGAAGAAAACGTTTCCAATTAAAAATGTTCCTGGTCAAATAGTACATCTGTGGAAAATAACTTGAGAGATGGCGGACTTCCGGATACATCGGAAGTATACATCAGCTGCCTTATTTTAAATAGAACGCCCTGTATATTATTACATTTTTGAATTCAGCATCGATTTTAATGTCCAGTTTGTTAAACATAGTTTCTGCCTACGCGGTAGCGTTTTGGAATTATTTAGTAGTAAAGGCTGATACATTTCTCATAGCGGTGTTCCAGTCTATTAATGCCATCTCTATAGACTGATTCGTCAAGCTCCTCAAAATAACCATTTACAGCTTCGATTACTTCTTCATTGTCCGCAAATCTCTTACCGCCAAGCCATTTTTTGAGATTAGGGAACAGAAAATAGTCACTCGGGGCTAGGTCTGGAGAGTAAGGAGGGTGCGGCATCAATTCAAACTTTAGATCGTTGATTTTAGCCGTCGCAACGATTGACGTGTGCGCTGGTGCGTTATCGTGATGAAACAAGATTTTTTTCTTCGCCAGATGAGGTCGTTTAATTTTCACCTCGTGGCTCAAACGTTGCAATAAGTCTGCGTAGTATTGACCAGTGATAGTATTACCCTTTGCAAGGTAATCAATGTATATAATACCTCTTGCATCCCAAAAAACAGTAGCCATAACCTTGTTCGCCGAAAAAATTGTTTTTGCCTTCTTTGGAGTTGGTTCCCCTGGTCCAATCCACTGTTTAGACTGTTCTTTGGTTTCAGGAGTGTAGTGGTGGACCCACGTTTCGTCAACGGTTACGAATCGACGCAAAAATTCGCTTGGATTACGCTTATACAATGACAAATTTGCGGTAGAAATGTTTTTTCGAATCAATTTTTGGTCGACTGTTAGCAAACGCGGCACCCATCTTGCACAGAGCTTTTCCATATGCAAATGTTGGTGCAAAATATGTTGCACACGTTCATATGACATCTTACAGGTCTCAGCTATCTCACGCACTTTCAATCTGCGGTCTCCCAGCACTATTTGATGAATTTTTTCGATCATATCTGGAGTTGTGACCTCAACGGGGCGTCCTGAGCGAGGCCCATCAGAGGTGCTCACACGACCCTTTTTAAACTCGGAAACCCACTGCTTAACGGTTGAATATGACGGGGAGGATGTCCCCAGTGTTGAGTCCATCTCTTTTTTAATTTCCTTCGGCGTTAACCCCTTCAAATAAAAGTATTTGATGACAGCACGATTTTCCTGCTTTTCCATTTTTACGAAAACCACAGAGGCGTCTTGTTCAGCGTGCTGTCAAACCTACACTAGCAAGGAGATCGGGCTGAAACTATAGCTACAAGCTATCCAAGGATGGTACTATAGAATGTCACCTCAAGGTAGGCCTAGTGGCGTCATCTCTTGGTTAGGCCGGAAACTTATCAATCCACCCTCGTATATCTATAGCCGAAAACATATTCTGTCTTGTTTATTCGAATTATTGATAAAATTACTTAAACCCAACACAACACAAACAATTAATGTCATAGAAGATTGCCGTGACTTCACGAGCAAAATTTTCTCAAAATAGTTTATTGCCGAAGTGAATAATACTCCAATATAAACAATACTGGGAATAAACTATATTTACAATTAATTATTAAATATGTACCGTTGTAAACTGTTCATTTTCATTTTGAGAAAATTCCGCTCGTGAAGTTACAGCAATCTTTTATGACATTAATTGTGTTGTGTTAGGTTTAAGTAACTTTATCAATAATTCGAATAAACATGACAAAATGTGTTTTCGGCTATAGATCCACGCCGTCTAGGATCTGTCCGTTTTCTCTGCACTTCTATATATATAAAAGAAAATCGTTTTAGTTACACTATTTATAACTCAAGAACGGCTGAACCGGTTTGGCTGAAAATTGGTGGGGAGGTAGCTTAGAACCAGGAGACGGATATAGGATACTTTTTAACGTGACATAAAACGTGGTTTAAGAAAACGCAACTAACATGGAATGACAAAACGCAACGGACAGCAAAACGAAAAATTAATCAGTCAAAACATCAGTCTAGCCGTTCATTTGTTAAAAATGGTATAACAAAACGCAACTGACATGGAATAACAAAACGTAAATGACAGTTAAACGTAATGTTGTCTAGGGTTAAGTATGGTGTTTTATTTATAGTCAGATTTACCTGAAACTTCACTTTAATGCTTTTTCATATAAAATTAGTGACATACATACCGATTTCAACATTTTACAAAATTCTACCTCTTTAGAAAGCTAAAAGGGGTTTACAAAGATTGCATGTTTGTTTTTGGTCCGATTTACTTGAAACTGGTTAAAAAATTCAATCTCTGTTGGGGGGGGGGGTAAAAAGGTGTTGCAATTCAGGTTTGGGACATACTTTATTCATGGTTGAATTTACTTGAAACTTCGTATATATGCTGTTTGATATTATTATTCAAATGAAAAGAGGTTGCAATGTTTCCATGGGGTATAATCAACCCTTAAGAATGAAATGTTGTTCCTACGTTTGTATTTGAAATCTAAGATGGCGACATTACATAAAATTAAAACGTTGTAAGGGTGAATTGGTAGTTAAAAGGTTTTATTATTATTAGCATAATGATTTAATGAACTTTGAAAGAAATTTTTAAATGGAAAGCCAAGTGCGTTTCATGCTCTTTTCAACAGCGACAGGCGCATCTTTTTATCGAGTATAATTGTCGAGATATTAAAATTTACGTAAGGTACTACAAACGTCAAATCTTTTAGAAATTACTAAATAACACCAAAAAGATACCGCGCAGGCAAAAACTATGTTTAACAAACTGGGCTACCTTCATTGGCCTGCATTTGTAAGTAAGGGAGATTAATCTCCATGGGTGGAAGTGGGTGGCAAAATTTTTTATTGGAAAATAAAAAAAATAAAGATACGAAAAATAGTATTAAAAAATATGTGTGAATTTATTTTAACTTACAAAATGTGATATTGATGTTTATTAATTAAAAATTGGGCGAGTTCAATATAGGCATTTAAGGGCTCAGGCAATTTAGTGAGGGTCCCCTATGCATTTTAGTAATAATGATTATTCTGGTGTAATGAATTGATTTCAGTTCATCTAGGCAGCTTCAAGGCGCGTTATTTTTGTTGAAATTGCTTAAGGGGGAAGGGGGCATTGATTCGCCGGAGTCTCTCTCACTTGTAGACATTCGGGATAATCCTAGTAGTATAAATCGTTCACAGACAGAGCTAGTCTTTTGTTTAATCCATTTATACAGGGTGTTTCACTTAAGGCGGTTTCGTTCATAACTCTATTATTACACTTTTAATAAAAAAAATGTTTTTGTAAAAGTGGTCAGGAATCATACGTATTAGGAAAATATTTTCTGTATATGCACCATATGATTCCAGACCATTTTTATAAAAACATTTTTTTATTAAAAGTATAAAAACATAAAAATTCTGTTAAGACTTAAACCCGAAATTAATTTAACATGGTCCACAAAGGGTAAAACTAGAATTTTAAAAATGAAATGTATGAAAAAATAACTGGATATACGGATGCAGCGCAAGTACTCGTTTGTTTTGTTTTTCCTGTCTGTTGTTTGGTCGTTGCCTGTCTGGACAAAAAATGGAATATTTTATCTTTTGTAATTGGAAAAGAACGTACAGTCTCACATAAGTAAGTTCATGTTACGTTTAATTTAAAAAAAAACTAAATATAGGGGCAAAAACTTAAACATTATTTCTAATAAAAATGGAAAATGCGATCGTACTCTATGAGATGAGCGACCGTGCATCAAGTTTGGTATTTTAAGTAGTCAAATTCAAAATGTAAACAAAATTTCTTTGTACAGTGTACCAACGAACACAACGACGACTCACGCCGTACATTTAGACCGGGACCGAAAAAAAAAATTCTAACCGCGATATCTTTGCTTATTTGGATACCTTTTAGTATGAATTATTATTGTACCTAATTTCCAACAGTTGAAAATCACTCCTTCATTGTTGAATTTGCTAGTATAATTATGAAAAAGTAGGTTCATTTTATTAATGTTTTAAATGCTGTCATTTATACGTAATGCACTAGTAGATATAGAGCATAGCATAGCATAGCATATAGATTTTATAAACAAAAAAACAATGGATAACTCCCATTCCCTGAACCTATGTACAATCGACGAGCGTGAGACGTTACCATGAAAACGATGGATTCCGAATTTTACTGATTATGCATTTATTTATGCAAATAAAGACCACAAAATGTATCTGGAATTTACATAAAAAACTGGTCGTGGAGGACTTTTCTTTAAAAAAAAGTAGAGAAAGATCGTAAGTGACTGCACTATTTTACGAAGCGCCCTTTAGAAAAAATGATATGTAACAAATATAGATTTAAAGTACAACCCTTAAGAAAGAAAATGAGTTCCGGTATGTTACACTACAACATTTCAAAGCTATAATAATTAAGTTACAAAAAAATGCCTTTTAATAAACAATTGGCTTTTTACAGTAAAATAATAGAACCTTTCCATAAAAAAAACACAGGTATTACACATCAGAACCTACAGTTCACTGAAGTTGATACGCCTACGTTCGTAATAGATTATTTTAAAAACAGCGATTTTCAGCAGTTTTCTGCATTTTATAAAAATTCAAAATATCGAATTTTTTATTATGGTGATACATCTCAAGTCCTACCAATACATGTTTTCACATCATAAACGTGAGTTCCGACCCTCATTTATCTATTGCATACCTCTCGTCTCTAAAAAGTAACTTTCCAACAAAAACATCTGAGTTATTATAAAAATATATTATTATGATTTCAAATTGAAAAATATTACGTCATAATTATTTGACTATATAGTATGTTATGTTACCTTAAGATAGGCCATGGTAAGCAAAGGTAGCAGAGTGAATGGTACGAGGTAGAGAAGTGCCGGTTGAGCAGCCTTGAAGATCTCTGAGCTAACAGTTGCCGTAAGCAGTCCTAAGAAATAACCTAAGAGAGAGCAGTGGAAGTACGTCAGTCTAGATCCGGTAAGTCCCTGGGCTTTCTTGTATGCATCATAGCGCAAAACAAAACAGAGTAATAAACCCGGCATCACTATGTCTCCCAAACCTAAATAATAAAGACCTTAATAAATAAAATATAAAAAAAACACAATACTGTGGCTTTCTAATAAATTGTGATGCTTTTTCATGTAAATTTATAATAAGAAAAACAGTTTATCCGTTTTGCTAAAATTTCAATTGATTTTCTCATGAAACCCCTTGTAAACAGATATGCAACAGTAACTTTTATTTTAAAAGTGTGTGCAATTATTCGTACCATTATTACATTATGAGTCCAAAAAGTGATGAAAGGAAGGCCTTTACACACTTGAATAGAATAAAAATAAGATTACGAATAAGCAAAACGCTAATGCATTACTTAATTCCTAGCATCATACTGAATAATAGCACACGCGTGTGTCATATTCTCTTATTTATTAAATAAACGTTAATTTTTATAAAAACTAAATAGTAAATATATATGCATACAATGCAGAGTATTTAATCAAAGCTGCTTGTTACTTCTATTTTTTATAGTGTGATATCCCACTGATAATTCTTCATTATTAGTACGTATGTGGTAAGTAGGTAGTAAACTTGAAACTCCCAATAGCAATTAAGTATGTTATAAATAATCCTTCACAATTAAAATTTTAACAAAAAGTAAAAGTTTGCAAGTTAATACAATAATTTAGTGTCAAAATAAAAATTTGTATAAGAATGTTAAAATTAGATAAGCAAACGTACCTAACATGCTGAAATGTCCTGTATTGTGTATACTAGGAAAAACTAATTTTCCTGGTAAACTCAACTTTGGCGCTTCTTTTACTACTCCGCCAATATGGAATTTCTTTGCCATAATGCTTACCGGATTCTCAGCAGGTCTCGTGGCTACCTAAAATAATTCAAGATTTAAGAATCGATAATCAAATATAAATAAAATATAAAGCATTATTAGTACAACAATTGCTTCCTTTTTATTAGTGCTTTGGTTTCATACTTTGACTGCTGTGACAGGAAAATCTTCAAAGAGGTGTTGCAACAAGTGGACATCAGACTGGGCACTTATTTAAATGTTGAGATGACTTACGTTATAAACAGTCTAATTAATCAATTCTCGATTAGTTATAAAGTAGATAATTATCTTTTAAACTGATTGCTAATAAAATAGAATGGATTAAATGAATAATAATCCTTTTTCTCCTATAAAAAGTCTTTAAATCGCATTAAAAAATGTTGAAGGGTTGGGGCCCAGGGAAATTACAATTGTAAAATTACAACGAACTTTTGGATACAAAAATCTGAGAACTATAAAAAAATTGTTTTTGTCGAAAAAATTAAAAAAGTTATAGACCTCGACAACAACGCCACCTGTAGGATCCAAAACTATCCTATTTACAAATTTACAAAATATCATTGAAAACACAAAAATAGAAATCAGCATACGTCAAGTTAACAGGTCAGACGGTTTGGAAGAATTTGATAAAATAAACAATCTATCTTAGTAAAGTGCTTTGCAAGTTCTTGCATCTGAAAAAAATGGGCGTGAAACGTGGTCAATGGGTGTTGCAGAAAAGAGAAAGTCAATAAGAAATGGGCACGATAGATTGGCTAAACTGAAGTGCTAATTAGTCGAATTAGAAAGTTAAGAGGGGACAGGGATAAGATTAGTATTGCCAAATAATTGATGATGATTTAAAAATAATAAAAACAATGTTTGAAATAACCCCATTCCATTTCTGCATATAGACAGTGCAACATTATTGAGATATTACTTGTAGTGTAGAACAATTATGTAGCATAGTACAAATTCTAACCTAGCGGGAAAATTATCTGGAACGTATGCCACCCAGCATACGAAGTTAATTCTGACATTTATTCTGCATAACTTTAGTATGTAAATATGTATTGTGTAGTATAATAGTACAATGTACTTTTCCTGTTACTTTTTAGATTGATTTGTATAGACTATGTTGATGACAATTTTTTAATAATTTTTCTAGATCTACGTTAATATCTATAACTATCAATATAATAAATTAACATAGTGACATGTTCAACGGTGATGTTAGAAATGATGATGTTAGTAATCCTGGATCACACGGGATTACAACGTGGATTATAATCCGTAATCCGGGAGTTATTTTTGTAATCATGTAATACGTAAACAACCTACTCATAAATTTAGGGATTCGGAATATGTTTCCCATGGTTCGGATTTTCTGTCAAATTTAATTGCGGATGGTGCATTTTTGTGATTTTTTATTTTTTAATAGTGTTATTGATACATAATTGATTGATGGGCCGTGGTGTGTATACTATTGATACACTGCATTTAAATTTGTTTTATTTAGCATTTGTGAAATTCTCTGATTTTTTTATAAATACTAATGATAATCAGTGTGAGTTAGAACAATTGAACTTACTTTAACCATCACGTTAGTGCTGAATATGTAGGAGGAAAAGAACACCCAAAAGACATCATAAATTAATAAACCAGTTAACAATAATGTTGATACTTTCAGACTTGGTAATCTTACAAAAGCAATAAATGCTACACAAAGGCCCATGCCCATTGCATCCATTAGTAGCCAGTGACCTGAAATTCATATTTCAACATTAAAATTTGTTTACTAAATTTTAAATAAAATGTGTATATCCAATAACCATTTTCTTTTTTTACATTACAATACAAATTTTTCCTATCATAACTTCTTTAAAAAATTAATACGTATAGAGAAGCAATACTTTTAACTATTAATTGAGTAATAGTTATGGATAAGTAAAAGATGACAACATAAATATTACTTTTAAACAACAAATATTTGAAACATTCAAATGGTTAATGATTTATTTCAAAAAGTATTGATAAAACAGCCAATTTATCTAGTTAAACAGATACTATGGCAATAAAATAAAATAATCCACAATGGTCCACTAACACTTGGGGATCAGATACCCGTGGACGCGTGTTTCTAGTGTAGGGTTTTCACAACTATGTAATAGAGGGTTATTTTTTCGTCTCTAACATGAATGTTTGACGATGATAATATATCACGCGGTTATCTATCGTATATTTCCGAGTTTAAATTTCCGATACATATAGACTATCATTTTTTTATATCTCTTTTTTATGAATAAAATTGCACTACACAATAAGCAATATAAAATTATGAACGGAATATGACAACGCTTCTTACTCTAAAACTCTAAATGAATTCGGGAGAATTCGGAACTTTTCGATTAGTTTCGATAATGTTCAGTAGACATCATGAGTAAATTAAATTTTAGAGCAAATGAAGAAGTTTCCAAAGTATTTTTAAAACACTTACATAACTTTTTTACCTGTTTAATTACAGGAGAAATAAAGGAATGTACCTAACATCTACAGTTTCAGACAAAAAATAAAACCTCTCGACTTTTGTATTTCCACTGATTACATAAAAAACTGTATGGTATTCTTTATTCACTTTCATAAACTGTCATTTATCATATAAATATGAATCATTATAGTATAATTCTTGACGTTTCGCTTACATCTGCGGCAGGCATTATTAAGTGTAGCCCGTTACCCTTTTCGGTCTTAGTTGCCTTGAGTGCTGTTAGCTATGCTAAGGCCGACAAGGGTAACGTGCTACCCTTGAAAATGTCTGCCGCAGATGTAAACGAAACGTCGGGAAACAATTTCCAAATACAACGACCGGAAAGTCCGAAAACAAATATGTTAGTATAAATTACCATATGAAAATGACAGACGTAGAAATATAATAATGTTCTTTACAATGATAAAAATGTACAGTTTTTAACGGAATTCGTTGTTCTTAATGTTCACTTCTAGGCATTTGCCAATTTTATGAATTTTGATCTGTTTGAGACAGCTGTTTCGCCTTTCGGCGTTTTCACGCACAAAATTCGTAAAATTAACGAACACCAACTAAATTTATAATGATGACTTATATAGCCCAGTATTTTTATATAAAATAATATAGTATCCCTACTCACCTGTTAAAACCCAGATACAAACAATAAATACTGACATGGAAAATGACAAAATCTCTGCACTAGTGAATCTACCACAAATTCCAAATGAAATTTTATTTCCATCTGAACATGGCCTTATTATATACTGACACATCGGAAGCAATAGGAACGCTAAAGCTACCGTTGCAATAACTGAAAATATAAAAAAGGAACAGTTTATTTATTGACAACTTATTGCTATTTCTGATTCAATTTTTTATGGAGTTGCTCAGATTCCCCGTTTTAAAATAATTATTTTAGTAGTGTAATTAAGTTATTACTACTTTATAGTGTAAAGGAGGAATTTAATCGTGACGATTCACCTACATTACCTTTTTTATTAGTCTTAAAATGTTAAGTTGATGTTTAAGAATCACACAAGATTTCACAACTGAATCATTTACTTTTTGAATGGATTTTTTTTAATTGACATGATGGACTATTTACTTTAAGTGAAACTGTTTAAGTGAAGAAAAACTAAATTGCCTATTTACTTATCTTCCCTTAACTAACAATGAGTATACCATACATATACACGTTGACTGTGACATGTACATTATTAATATGAATTTGGGTTTCATTGAATTCTGTATTAAGTAATTTATCATAAAGCAGAGGTGATGTATACATTTCTTTAATTATCTTCTGCTTAACGTTTACATTTCTATATATGTGTATTACAATATAAATAAGTCAGTAAATCTGTCAAAACTATAAGCATCCGGACTTGAAAAAAAATTTAGAATGTACATACACATTATCAATGCATATTAGGTAGATATATTGTATCTATTTATGAATATTTATCTTTGCATTGAAAAACCTTTCTTGATAATAAAGATTTTTTTCAGTCAATTAGCTTAAGTTAAGAACTAATAGGTAATTAGTGACAGTTGATATGCATGTATATTATATTACACACTTTCTGAAACAATAGCACATTTGAAAAAAAATGTTCAACTTATAAATGATGCCAATGAGTATACTATCAATAAATTTTATTTTTAAATTGTGATATTATTTTGCTTACATTGGAAGGCTTACCAAACCTTTTTCAATATTTATCAAGACACTCACAGATGAAAAAAATATAGAGAAATTCCATTTTAATAGGCGAAATCCTTTTACTTACTTGCAGTACAAATTGCAAAAAGCATTTGCATGGAATCGAAGAAGAAAAACATAACAAGTAATGAAATGCTGGCCCCCAGAGGCAAACATAAAGCTTGCATTGTATCCAATGTTTGTACACTGCTATCAGTTTGTACTTGAGCTGCAGGATTTAATAGGCAGTTGGTGCTACCATTAGCTCTATCTCTAGCTTCTTGTTCCATGTTTAGACTTCGAAAGGATCCATACACAATCAACAACATAGAAATAATGAATGTGGATACTCTACTAGAGTCCATAATAGAATAGGCCCACTGATATTCAATTGTCTGTTGTTGGGTATCGGCCATAGTCGAATTTCTTTTGTTTCACTATCTGAATTCATGCAAAAATGAAATTTCATCGGCGTGACCCATTTATTTTGTTACATAATTATTTAAAAAAACGCACCATAAGCACAAACCCTCTCAAGAAAATCGACAATTTTCGGACGGGAGTTCTCGTTGTTTCAAAAAACATCACTGAATTTCGAATTCTAAAAGTGTAAATCAACACCAACTTCCGAAAATATTTACGGTTATGTACAGACGAACGCCATGTTGAACTGCCAAATGAAAACGAGAAACATTTCACAAACTTTCTATTCCGCTTTATTATGTAAAAATGAGGTTATTTACACTTGTGGGGGCAGTAGTTGTACGATGGTTGTACTCAGTTGTACTATCTGCTGTCGCTAATAACCAAGCAAACGGATAGCATGCACTGAATAGTCTGTTTTGATGTAGCAAATCATTTGATTTACAACCAATTGAGTTTGAGCATCATTAAGTATGTTTTTGTCTCTGTTTATCACATAAGCAGCAAGCAGGCAACATTATTACAAAATAGTCGCGGTTATACAGGGCGATTTCCAACAATTTTTTTCTAATCGAATATACAAATATCAGGGATCCAGAAGCATTTCTTTGGAGGAGGGAAATTAAATCTGAATCATAATCTAAACTGCTAAATAAAGTGTTAAATAAATTGAATTCACAATAGTAGAACCCGTATAAAAAAAAGCACGTGCGGTAGACGACCCCCGTTAGGAACACAGTTCCCAACTCCCATACGCTTTTTGTTCAACTCCGAGAGAGAGAAAAAAAGAGAGACATGGCGAGGAAGATGGAGGGGGGAGAAGGGAGAAATGAGAGATATATATTCCAAAACAATAACGGTTATTGTATTAGAAGCATTTAGAGACAAAAAAAACAAACATCAATAAGGTGCCTAGATTGTATGCATTTTATATTATTTTATGCATTTACTGTAAATAAATTACCTATCTGAAAGCCATACGGCGTTGTAAGGGAAAAATATGATACAATACCTAATTTTTTTATGACACACTAAATTAGATTGATAAATGGTTTTCTTCAAAATTATACGTTTTTTACAAGCATTTCACAATACGGTAGCCATCTAGTCGTATTTGTTGCTAATACTAGTACTTAAAATTAATTTAAATTTTGATAAAAACATACAGAGGCAGTTTTATACACGTAGTATTATATTGATAACAGTTTATGTTCTTCATCAGTAACTTTTTGAAACTACTGCCGTGGATAAGTTACCGATCAAACCGGTTTGGTACTTTCATTCATCCATGATATTCTAATCATATTTTTCTCTATTTTTTCACAGTACTGAAGTAATCTGTCTTAGAGTTTTTGAGGGGGGGGATCCCATACATGTACTTAAGTATAGTATTACATTTACCTATTGATGGACTTTAAAGCAGCCGGTTTTCTTAATTTTTAATAAGTACCTGTCTATTTACTATTGATAGTAAAAGCTGTAATGAAATTTGTTCTAACTTATGCATAATGTAACAGAATGTTTCAAGGGTGAAACGACTTACTTTACTTATCTCGCCTATCTTACTGACTACTCTTTCTAATACCTCCTCATCATTCGCCTCAATAGGGTTGCCATCTCTAAAATTTGGAAACCAGGACAAGACGCATGAAAACCCCGGATTTTAGAGTCCAGAACCGGGACATGTCAACAGGTTTTTTTAAACATAATCAGTGCAACCAAAAACAGTTGAAAATGTCATAAATCACCATTTTATTTATTTTCGGACCTTAAAATTAAATTTAGTCATTCTTTATCATCATTTTCAAGGTACCTAACAAAACAGAATCTTATTACAGTTTGTTACAAATTGTTTTAATAATCAATTAGATTTTTTTTACGTGTGTCGCGGACGGCCCAAGACTTTAAATTTTTAAACCAGGACTACAAATGAAGCCCCCCCGGACGCTCCCCGGATGCCCTCTTAACTAGGACAAATCCGGGGAAACCCGGACGGATGGCAACCCTAGCCTCACATCATCACATTTTGAACGTTTCTTTTCCGCCGTGCCCGCTGCCTTTGTCTCGTACTCACATAAAGCCGTGCTCCAGAGATACATCTTTAACAATCTTTTTCTGATTCCTAAATTAACTGTTCGCGAATAGAGCAGTGACTTCTTTGTGTTAAATACGATTCAATCCCGCGCAATTTATATTCAGGATGGGACAGGGAATTATCTCTATGTTCACCGATGCATTATGAAAAGAGTAAATATCGTGGGCGAGCAGAGATGGAGCCAAACGACGTAAATGGTCTGGAAGTTTCAGCCAGTACATATTTCAGTGATAAAAATAATGTGGTCGAAGAAGCAAAACGAGCTTTCGTTGTAGAAGTGTACTTTTCCCAAAACAAATCCAGTGTCAAAGTACAGCGTACCATGCGTATTCGTTAGCATGTTTCTTCTCGAAATTCGGTTCCGCGTCCCTCTTTCGGTATGGCTACTATCGCGTTCCGTTAATAGTCCTCCAGGACTTACCCCGTCTCGTATATGTCACTAACTACCTTAAACATACAATCTCCAACCTATTGCCCTAAATTTTTTAAGATTTCCGCCTATTTATACCTGGTGCCTTATTATTTAATTTTTTTAATCCTAAAGCAAACTCTTCTCTCATTATGGGGTATCCTAGGTCATCTATCTTTACACCAACTTCCTTCCCTAATACATCTTCTAACCCTGGATATACGTATAGCTTCTCTAAATATTCTTTCCACCTATCTGTCTTTTTCTCATTTTCTACCAAAAATTACTCCTGCCTCTTTTCTTATATTATTACTACAAACTTTTCTTCTACTTCTTTATACCTCATATCATACCGCTGTTCCTTAGCTGCCCTACATATCCTAATTATTTCCTTCTTGTTTTACATCTTGTTTGACCCTTTTCATCCATCCTGATTTTATATTTTCATCTTTCTGTTTAAGACCTAAGGTACAACTCTTTCTAAACTTGAGAGCATATTGAGTGATAATTGTTTCAATTGGTTTTTAAAAATCTTTGAATTTAGAAAAAATATTTTTATTCATTGCACATAATCGACTGATAAATATACATTAGGATTACAATTAGATCAATATTTAGTTTTATCACTGTTGGCCGCAATACACGATTCCAATCGGGAATTTAGACAACCGATTAAAGACTCCAAATATTTAGGGACCAAATCATTCGAAATGGTCTCAATTTTGCCAATTGTCAATCGAGCGTTCAGTCTCTTTCTCAAGGATATCTTTCATCAATTTCCAGAGATTTTCGATAGGGTTGAGGTCTGGCGAACAAGCTGGCTACTTTATAACCTCAAATTCTTTGCCATCAAACCACTCTTTGTTTTTCATCAATACTATTGATAATTGTATGGCATGTGACACAATAGTCGATCGGTAATTTGATTCTCAATTCAAACGTATGCTTTATTTGCATGGTGATCACCTAGCATCAAATTAATCAATCAAAAAGTAAGTGACGTAATTTTATCGCGCTAACTCTGCTCCCAACTATAGCTGCGGAATACAGACACGTTTCAATGCACATGCACTCTATCTCGTTTCTTCCGCCTCCTTTAGTATGTCCTTCTACTTAATCTATCACGTGTTTCGTTACATTTTGGTTTTCTACTTTCCGCCCTCTTCTTAATAATTTTCAATTTAAAATTGGCCTTCATAACTACCAACAATAAGTTATATTGCTATCTACATATATCTGCTTCTGGATAATTGCTGCAGTCCTTCACTTGATTTTTAAATCTTTGCCTAAAAAATAATCCAAGTGTTTTGATTTAGACGACGCCAAGAAATACCGAAAGGCCGAATGACATCCAATACTTCTTGTTAAAGTTCGGACACTATTGTAATAAAACTATATTCACAACCTTAACAAAAACATTTAAACTTAACAGAACTGTACATATCGGTTTAATTATGAATTCAAGAATGATAATGTGCTATTTGTTGAAGTAATAGTTGTTAGCCGTTTTAATTTGCCATAATAAAGGTTATTGCTAACAAGTTAATATTATTGAAAAGATACAATTTACTATTGTAATATTATTAAATTAACGTACTTATACACCGACTCCTAAAATAATTTTACACATAAAATATAAATATCCAATCTTAACACAAACTGGTGTTTCCCTAAATAGCCTGGCATCTTTAGGGCCCCAAGAAATATAGAGTTCCACAAACACTCCAAGGCTAAGTGGCAACTTTAAAATGTAGTGAATGCAATGCTAAAATATAGGACTAAAAAACATTTTTAATAACTCTAAAATACACTGTTGATTTTTAAAATGAAATTTGTGTGAAACGAAATATCTGCGCAATCAGGTAAGTGTCTCACTGTCATAGGAAGTTATGTGAAAGGATTTCATATAAAAATTTATTTAATAAAGAATAATCGGGTAGAGCCTTTGAAAATTAAATATTTATTTTATAATTAGGTACTTATAACAAAAACACAAAGAGAATTCATTTCACAAAATCGATAATAAGTAACTGTGTTAACTTTTGTACGGTAAATCATAAAATTTTACGTAATAAGCTAAAATTATGGAATAAGAGGCGAGGAACATAAACTTTTAAGTAGTTATTTGAGTAACAAGCAACAAAAGTAAACGAATGCGTAAGTAAATATCACGAACTTAATACTGGGGTCTCGCAGGGTACAATATTAGGTCCTCTGTTATTTACCTAGTGTACATACACTAAAAACCAAAAAAAAAAAATAGGCGAAGTAGGTTGGTAGGACACCTTCTGAGGCATGAAGGTCTAGTCAGAGACATAATAGAGGCAGAAACAGAGTTAAGAGGGGTAGAGGTAGGCCTATATTAGATTACTGTTCGCAAATAGTTAAGGATGTGGGCTGTTCTAGTTTTAGGGAAATGCGAAGATTAGCTCAGGATAGGAAAGAGTTGAGATACATGTCCAACCAGTCTTAGGACTGACGACCTTATAATGATGATGATGATGTACATATACAAAAAGAAAAGGTAATATTTATTATTATTAATATTGAATTTCTGTTAAAGTTTATCGTAGTCGTGATCTGTATAACTCATTGGAGCTCCTGATTTCAAACTGAGTATACGGAGTAATTTATATTGAACGACCTCAAACTAAGTCCAGGTCCTAAGGTGACCACATAACTGAACCGTAGGTCAGGATCGGCAGCACCAAACAAGTGGTGAATTGAGGTAGTATTACGAAACTCTTTACAAAACGATGGATGAACCATAGAATCCTGGAAGCTTTACTAACTACAACTTCCACTGTTTAGAGAAAGATAATAAATTTAGTAAGGAACCGTTCAAGCATTACGGAAGCAGATTTTCTGCAATTATTAACCTTCCTCCCCCTTGTGAGCAAAAGCAAACAAAGCTCTTAGCCCTCCCTCCCATGCATTCATAAACATTGGTACATACATTTTTTAATATGTTCTCATTTCTTCATTGATTAGTTATAAGACCCTGAAAACGCGTTTCATTTTTAAGCATAGACAAGTAGGGTTGCCTCCCCTCCTAATCCCCATGTCATCAAAAATTAGCAAAGGAAAGAGCTCCCGCCCGTGGTAATGCTTACGTAATACTTGAATAGCCCCTAAACAA